AGGTCTACCAGAATATCTCGTTTGCTGTGTCGAAATTCGACTCCAACTTCTCATCGAACTTCTCTCAAGAATCAGCTTTTGCTTTCGACACTACTTTCGCTGCTGCTTTGCGTGTTTCGAAAGTTCGCACGCGACTACAAGGCTCTGTTTCCAGGCTATTTCTTGAAGGCAGCCTTCTCGCTATCTGCCAGTTGTACCTCCCATGTTTACCAGGAAGTTCTTTCGTGACATCCAGTTGGCGGGCCAACACGTTTCTCTCCGCAACATTCGGCGGGAACCTCGACTATGTGGCTATTAAACGGATGCCACTGATGTTTCCACATCGGTGGTCATCACTGGCATCGGTTCAAACCGTCGTGCAATGTTCTTTGCATGTTTCGTTCTCCTATTCGCCGAAGGTAATGTTTACCATTTGATTCTCTGGTCGTTTGTGTCACTATGGTACTCCATTTCTTACAGCGCAGCGTTGCAACAACACGGTGGTGATCGGCTGATAGCTCTGCGCCTGTTAATGCAAACATCCATTACTGAGCGTCTTAGGTCAGACGATACGATTATCAAATCGATCATCGACCTCTGTGTGCAAGCTTCCCGGTACCAAGTATACTGATGCATTCTTCGATCCTCGAAGGTGTTCATAATGAACAGTCCGTTATTTCCACAACACCGAAACAACTTCGTGCCGTTATTGTTGAGGTCGCTAGGGCTGTTCTTTCCTATGACGCCATTGCACTTTTCAGCGTCTACTGCGACATGCGCATTAATATCGCCCATGAGAAGCGAGAGGTTTCGTTTTTGGCAGTTCGTATAGAGCACACTGTACTTCTTCAAGGAATGAGTTATATTATTCCTCGAAACGGATGCATAGACCTGTAAGGTCAACGCATTAGCCTGTTATTGCTTCATTCAAGGGATCGGCACTTTTCTGCTGACAGACTTCGAATTAATGATTCGCTCAGTTAGATTCGGTTTTAGCAGAACTTTAACACCGGCCTGCGCGCGCTTCGTGCTGACAAAACTTGAACAGAAGAACTCAACAAGAATGCTGGTTATTTTAAGTCGTGTTCTCATTCTGAACACGGTGATCAGACAGGAGATGGAAGCAAAAGACGCCGTCGTTTATAGCGAAAAGCAGAAGCTGCGGCGAACGGCACGTAGTTTGGTTCATCAATGGGAGATGGTCGTATGCCAGTACCTTAATGAGCGAACTAGGCGGCCTGATCACTCACCGCCAGAAAGATTAAATCAGGAGCCGGAAGGGCCGCGCTTGGAGGAAGAACGCTCGAAATTCCGAACAACAGCCTCGCTGATTCGTCGCTGATTACCGGTCGACGGAGGTCATTCTAAGAAAACATAATTTTTCTGTTACTCATACTATATGATTTAGAAAGTATTTATTCTGACCATGCGCAGAGTTAAATTCACCATTTTGCAAAAAACACTACATATAATGAGACACGCTACAAAAATCTTGGAGTAGCGGTTAATGGCGAAGGCAGGGAGGAAATTGCATATATTTGGTTTGGGCCAGAAAGTTAACAGTAAATGGGATCATAAGCCAAAGATCGACAGTTCAATGCCAGCATGACCCTACATCACAATAATATCGTCGGCGATTCAGCATGCATGTGAATCGAACAGGAGGAACGCCGTCTGTCCGGCAGACCGCTGAAAGATAATTGCCAGTTTTACTACGCCGTCATATCCTAAGGCAACTATCAGAGAGCAAACGAGCAGAAAATGTCATCATGAAAAATAGGGAGGAAAGATACGATAGCATTTTCTTTTACTACCAGATTTACATGATGTACAGGCACCCTCCCCTTGCTTCTAGCGAACCATCGGACCGTTTAACTTGCTTGTGCCATTTAACCACTTGTTTCTAGCAAACATAACTCCATACTGTTTGAACACCTGCAGTGCGTGGATGCAAAACCCTATCATTGGACAGGGCCGAACAAAATCCCATCTGGACACCTGTAGCTATGCCGCTATCCACAGGCCTATTTATACGAAAATATAAACACCGATAATATCGGTTTAACAGCATACTACTAGTTTTATCTAACAGGGATCAAATATTAACACTTCTTTTTAAGATTCATCGGCCATCGGTAGATCTGACTAAATGGGGCTGTTAAGAGCTTCATGAATAGACGCGTGCATTTCTGTCTATCTGACATTGATTATCTTCCACGGTTTAAGGTAGATTTGCACAAATTATTAAGAGCACTCCAAGTCCCATTGCACTATTATAGAACTAATTACCATTTCAGGTTCGCCGAGGATACGTAGGAGAAACAACTGAAGGCACGTTGATCAAGGTATTGCAGTCGAATCTAAATCTAAAAGGGCTGTACGAAATCAGTGCAACTTATAAGGGCCGAGGCGATCTATCTGGAAAAATGTTTATGAGTTTTGTTCAAATCTGCATATACTATCTAGTCACTTAATGTTAAAAGCTCCTTCTCGAAATGAAAACTCATCTTACCGGACGATGGACAATAACACCTGAAGGAACTAAACCTTTTAGAAACGAATTTCAAGTTGTCTGGTACGTAACATTTAAACTTAGCAAGTTGGTATGGAAATGTAATTTTTATGTAAAACGCAATCTGGCACATATCTTACGAGTTTCTAGTTTAAATAAATTCTCTCCTTAAGAACTATACATCACGTCAGTAAGAATAATGAAACATGCCTTTTCACATGCGGGAGTAAACAAAGACTATCGTCTCGTGACGAGGTCAAAGTATGAATGAAGTACGATCTTGCAGCGAGGTATTGTAATATTCTTGCTCAGCTTCTTGCAAACAAACAGCAGCTTCCTCCTTGACTGTCAGTAATTTGTCGTTCAGTTCTTTTCGAATAAGCTGACACTGACTGTTTGTGAATTCAACAGTTTCGTTAACGAACTCGAAATCGTTCAAGATCAAAAACTGCTTTAAGTCAGACACAAGTTTGATCAGGGCCTCAGCGCAGCGCGTCTAGAAACCAAATTATATTTAAATATCAAGCATTTCATCGCCTGCTTACCATATTCGCTGTGCGAATCTGCATTTCATACTGCCTTTGTTCATAGTTCGTCAATCTCAGCACTTGTGACTCTTCTTCAACCTAAACATCAAAACGATTACAATTCATGAAGTAGAAGAAATACCAAAGTGAGAAATACCATACAGCAGAAATGAGAAAACTACAATCTTAAAGTATGGAGTGAGCAGATAGCAGACAGCCCCGTGTGTGCCACGTTCGCTATACATCGGTAACAGAAAGAACTATATTTCCATATGCTGAGCGAGCTGTTTCTGGTTGCTCAGCCAGAGAAAGATGCTACAGTACCAAAGACTGAAGAATGTAGAATTACAAAGCCGATGAAATTAGAGCCTTCGTGGAGAAAACCTCAAAAAAGACGTTATAGTCATGGAAACAATCCCTGTTCACGCCATTCACTCACTCCTACTTTTTCACCTGTCATTTACTAACGCGTGTCCCATAAAAGACTAATGATTATTTACAACTCCTGTCATACTTCCAATACCTCAAAGCGGTAGGGAGGCAGATTCTCAGGACGATATATAGATGAGCCTGTAGGCTCTGGCAGGTTCAACCATGCTGTGAAAGATTGAGAAATATATACCCCGACAAGTGGAAAAAGCAACACTCAACATCAAACCGCCTGGCCAGAGTGGTGAGCTAAAGACAAATTTTTAGAGATAAAATTACGACTGAAGCTATAATTCTCATTCCCACGGAAGCCGAACGGTCGCCCGCGAAGGTAGCAGCTGATCATGCACATCAGCAAGTGCTAAGAATACCCGGGTTAGGGATCACAGCTACTAAGATTTACTAAAGGTGGCAACGTACAACTGCAAATTACTTACAGGTGAACCAAGACTTCAAAAGATGGAACAATTTATGACAATTAAGCAAAAAATTGCAGGATTCAAAGAAGTTAGAAAAAAGAAACAGCGGCTTTTAGAGCTAAAAATAAACACCTCGTATTCCACATAAAGGATGGCAAATGGAAGCAAAGGGGGAGTAAGGGTAATTACCCAAAGAAGACTAAAGAACAAGTGGACAGCATTTCATGGAAGTGTGCAAGACTGGCCCCATAAATATGAAACAGGTAAGAACTCCAGCTGATCAAGGTATATGTAACAATATTATGCCATGAAGAACTCGAAGATTTTTGTCAAGAAATATATCTGCATTAAGATGGAAAGAACCATGTTAATGTTCGTAATTAGTGATTTTAACGCCAAAGTAATTGCAGCAAGAAAACCCATGCCCTGCAAGCATTTTCAGATGCGGCAAAAGAAAAAAGAACGATAATAGTGACCGCCTAGTGGAAATTCCTGAATGAACGTTATTTATCACGAATACCATTTTCCAGAAAAGATCAAACATAAAATGGACATGAAAAACAAGAATGACCTCAAGAATCGAATAGATTTCATGCTCAGAAAATTGAATTCACGCAGTACAGGATATCACAACGCCGAACAGGCTTAATGCAGGAAGCAAACACAGACCCATCGGATATAACGTGTACCCGTACTCAACATAAAAACACTTACGATGAACCTTCTGCTGCTGCAGCTGAAATTAAATAACCGATTCAACGTCTGCACGATATTTACCAAGAAGGGGAGACCTAAAAAGTAGATGAATCGGGATAGAGTAAACCACTTACTGCGCCAGAGAAATGGCGAAAATCGTCTCCAGAACAAGAATCATGAAGGTCGATTCAAAAGAAACAGTTAATGAACATATAAAGGGAAATGAAGAAAATAGTAACACTGAATAAGTGCTTGTAAAAAAACCGAGAAATGAACATGACACAACCGAAGCATGAAGAAATTAAAACAAATATTTGCCGTTGGGAAACAACAAATTTTAGCTGTCAAAGCTGAATAGTGTACTTCCTTTCGTCAGGAACAATCAACAGATTTCAAAGAGAATAGAAAATTTCCATAGAAAACCGCAAAAAGAGAAAAAAGCAATAGCATAGAAAACGATAAGGGATCTAAAGATACAAATGAAGAAATGACAAAATTCAAGATATCTTGTTGGAAGAAATGCGACAATCAATGAAAATCGAAGCAATGAGGAGCTCTTGATGAAGCTGGTATTACAGTTGAATGCGCAAAATCAGCAGGATCAGCATCATCAAGGTGTTAAGAACGAGGCTGTTCCCATGCTATTTGAAAGAATAAAAAATTTCTGAAGATTGGGTTACAGCATTGGTGATTCTAATGTACAATGAACGAGACAAACAGGTCTGAAAATCTGCAGGCTGTACGGTATGTTGCAAAGCATCCAAGAGATCTTTACGAAGGTACTGACGAACAGACTTCAAAAAACTGAACTCTGCACAGCAAAAGGTGCACGCAGGATTCACAAATGTATTTTGAGAAGCAGGTCATCTTCAGTCTTTACAAGCAATTCACTGAAAAAACGAATACCACCCTCTCCTATGCTCAACATTGATGAATTTCGACAAAGATTCTGTCTGTCTACAGCCGATTTGTATCATATGCCTTGAGAATCCAGGCGGTCGAGAAAATATATCGCAACGATTTATATGACTACATCTGCCAGTGTGAAGCTTCATGAACGAACAAACAAGTCCAAAATCTGAAAGGGATCCAGCAAGGACAAGTAATATCACTGAAGTTATTTACAACAGCCAAAGAAGAGACATTCAGTACACTTCACATCGGTAATACTTTAGTTACTTGCAGTGTACTGACGATATTCTGAATCTCTAAGGTAACCAAAAGTATTCAAAAACACAATCCAAAAGCTGAAAGACGCCAGCATCAAAGTATGACTGAGAATGAATCTGAAGTATTCAGCTCCTGGGTAATAAAGAGTAACGCCACGGCGTGTTTAAGTTAACAGACTTAGACGTGAAGAGGTATCAAACCACGCTTTTGTGGAACACCTCATCTCTAAAACAGCGAACCTATCCTGCGAAATCAATAAAATAAAATGACACTGAGCACCACTGGAAAACAAAAAATGTTCCATTCAGGGAAACTGCTTCTGCGCCTGAAACGGAAACTTCTTGGAAGGTGGTGCTCCCAGTTCAATGTATGAACACGAAACGTGAACCCTAAATCGGACTTTTTACAAACCGCAGACAATCAGGCAGAGAGGCGAATGGGTAAGAGCACAAAAAGAAGTCTACGGTGTCACTGAATGAGTGAAGAAAACATAGTGCAAAATCTGCAGGACACGCTGCTAGAAGAACCGGGCATCACTGGGCCAAAAGGACACTGCGTTGTTTCCAAGTGAGAGTAAAAAGCCTTCGGGAAAACATTCAGATAGATGAGGTGAAGTTGGCTGGATGAGGACGGATAAGAATCATAAAATTAAAAGGTTTAACTTTCATAAGCTGTTAATACACCGAGTATATGAAACAACGAATGACTCGCCAAAACCACATTTCACGGCCTATCACACAGGTCTTTTGATCACGGTTTTTTAGGGGGCCATTTAAGCTGGCCACAGCTCCATGATATTTGAACACCCGTGGTAAAAGATGCATCTCCATTCATTTTGTTCGTCACAGCCATCCCGAACGATGTTTCAGTAGTTGGAACTCCTTATATACAACCGTATGAACATCATAATATGTTAGCACGCGAAAGTATGTAAAATACACGTTAGCTTATAACTAGTACCTGCTCTCAAAACATCGTCTGTGATAAGCGTGAGGTGGCTCTAGCGGCAAAACGATGCGACATGTACCTGGCACTGCAGGCTCTCAAATATCATGAACTACGATTCGATTAAATAACCCCTTCAGGCAAATAGGAATAAGCAAGAGGTGACATACCCCATGGAATTTAGTGTTGGAGGATCATCTGTTATTGACTACAGAGGTTTATGGTCAAATCTTGGACAGGACTTCATTGAGTCGAAAAACGCAAATGATGAAGAATAATTCATTAAGAATCTGAAATCCCATTTCTGATGGGCAGTTATCATGACGCTAATTACTTTACTGTTAAAGCTCCAATAGCCTTGCCGGAAAATGAGACAACGTCAACAGTGGTAGAATACATTATGTAAACAGATCGATGAGAGCATTTCTAAAATTAACCCCCCTCGTTCAGAGTTAGACACCTTCTGAAACAGGTTCCTGGAAGCCTAACCAAGCCTTGATGTGTTTCTATGCAGACTTCCAGTATACCTCTCAATCCGTCTCTCGAATGGGTACTGATATGTTTTCTAGGGGACAGTAAAGCAAACTCGGAACTCAAGAGAATTGTTTTCGACTAAAAATTAAATACTGCTTGAGGTAAAGAAAAAAGTTACTGAATATTTCCATTAGAATACAGCATAAACTTCCTTTATCAAACGTGAAAAAAGATAATGTTAAGAGAAAAAATTTGCTAAATTTCTATCTGAACGAGCAGCGGTTTAGGAAAAAATGAATGTGAATTTGTACTTTGGTAGAAGGGAAATCAAGCGGTATCTGGATAATGGTGCAGCATGTAAGTAGTTTGCTATACAGTATAAAGGGGCCAAGTTAAACTCCCAATTGCAGTGTAACTTTTCCTATTAAACGCAATTTCCATTTAACAAAGAATCTACCCAACCAAACTATAATGCCACCAGCTGAAACACTTAGATCAAGTCGTTCATCCGCAAACAACTGGGACAGCATGTGGTTATGATGCAGTTCTAATAAATCGTACAACATATACATCACTTGTGAATGATGCGCGACCCTTAAAGCTGCAATTCTCTGACCCACTTGATGAATAACAGTAATTGAGTACCAAATGCAAACCATTAATTTTTTTTTAAAAATAACCTAACAACGGCAGTAAATCAACGAGTCGCATAATCTTGAAGCAAAAAATGATCAGCATTAAAAAGTACCTTTGAAAGGCGAATTATTTCAGTAAAATTTTCGCGAATCGAACGGATGCAATCTCGAAGGCGCTGTCGATAATGCTTAAGAAGAACTGCTTTGCTTAGGTTCGTTTTCTGAACTTGAGATTTTTTCATATCACACACAGTTCGTGGCATTCGTAAGAAGCTCCTGAAGCATGCAAAACATCATACAAAACATGATTACGCTCAATAATCCGTTAAAATGGAAGGCCACGAAACGCATAGCAATACTTTGACATAAACATTGGCGTGACAATTCAAAAA